CAGGTGCTGCCTGGGGCTCCTGCTGCTTCCATGGGGAGCAAGCGCTCTGGGTGCTTTCGGTTGGCCTGTTGACGTTTCCCCTTATTACTCTGCTGGTGTGGGTTGTAAAGCCTGAGAGTTAAAGTCAGTATTTGCATGGGAATGGGGAGGGAGCCCCGCAGCGACTTACTAGAAAGAGCACACATAAACTTTGTCTTTAGATAGTATAGCTGTCTTTTATGGAATTTATAAACCAAGCCCTGTGTCTGTGGAGCTTAGCATAAGGGAATTCAAAACATTATCTCGGAAGAATTTCATGTGTGGCCTCCTCGGGCTTTTGTTGTTCTTGGTGTCAGGCTGCCAAGGTTGGTTCTTCTCTGCCTGAGCTAGGTTTTGGCCTCATGTTGCTGGAATTCAGCTTTTCTTGTTATCTCGTACAAATCTTGGAGGGAAGGTTTGTTTTGTAGCAGACTCACTGTGGCAGTACAGCAAGGCTGCTGAGATCGGTGATGTTTTGACACGTTACAAGCTGCTGAAGTCTGATACTGTTGTGTTAAAAATATATACAGGATAAAATTCTATATAAAGCTGTAGGAATAAAGGCGTATTCTATGCCTTTACTTGACTCCCTATAAGAATCACGTTATAAATCTTAGATTATTACAAGACAGCATTTTTTTTTCTGGTTTTAGCCCACAGATTCCAGCTACACAAATTATAGTTTGTATTTTCACAGGACGATCATTACCCTTTCACATCTTGAAGGGATATAATAGTTCACTGTCTTTTAGGTCGTTACTGTTAAAACAATTTATTTCTTTATATCCTTACCCCGCCATTAATTCTCTTTGTTTTTTTCCCCTCCAAAACCAAATACAAGCAAAAGAAAAAAATCCCATCCATCCTGCATGATAGAATTCACAACTTTAAGTTTGAAAATAAGGAAAATAAGTTTTTGATGGCAGGATTTCACATCTTATTCTTTCATTACAGTTGCCATTCCTCCCCAAAACACACACGCAAAGCATTAAGCTGTCGGTGTGGAGGTAAAAATTACTGCCTAGTTTTTGAAACTAGGTTTGTTTAACACTTGGCTAGGAATCTTTGTCTCAACTTGAATTTCCCTTGATTTGTTGTATTGAGCAACAGAGCTGTTCAGCATGACAAAGCTAAACTGGGGTATGTGCTTTAGAATCACACACATGGCTGTGAAATTTCTTTAATTCGCTGTTCACTGGTCTTAGGGTCAATAGGGCTACTTGTGAGCAGAGGAATAGACATTTTTACTAAAAATAAGGACATTGTTTTCGGAGTGATTGATCTTGTGATTAGTACTTTGGGGGCTTCTCCTTTTGTATTTGTGTTATGGAAGGTTTGCCTTTGATTTCCAGAGGTCTTTTGGAAGTTTGAAGCTGTTACTCTTCAAAAGGTGGAGCCCCATATTTGGAAACCTGTGCATTACATGGAGCACCTAGGTGCCATTTCATAATCCTTTAAGCAGGAGGGAGCTTAGAAGGCTGATTGGGATCTGTGGATTTAATCTTAAAATTTAGGGAAGAACTCAGATTTTACTTGGGGTGGAAGATTTACGTACACAGATGGAACTGGATTTGGAGGAACTGATCTGACTGGAAAACTGATATTCTGCCCTTTCTACTCCCTGCTGTCCCCCAGGATTTTTGCAGCTGCCTGATTCCCCCGCTGTTTCACTTCCTTACACAGCCACCCAAGAACTGTCCTGCCACAATACACAGGAGGGTGCGAGGAGGGATATTGTAGAGGGAGCTTAAGGGGTGATTGAATGTATTGTTAATTTTGAATGTTTTAAATTTGACAATATTTAGCACAGAGCAATGTCCACACATAGCTCAGCAGACAGTCTTATCTTCATCCAATTGTAAACATACAGAACACAAAGTTCATGTCATATGAATGCTTTATAACTGGGGAAGTGATCATGGAAAAAAATGATGTGTTTGACATTGCTCCTCCCTAAAAATGTCTGTTTCTGAGCACATAACCAGTCTAGCTGCATGGAAGGTGCACATGTTCTGAGTGCAAGAATGTCACTTACTGCTTTGTTAATAACTTTGCAAAGAGAGCTGGAAATGCTCATTTCAGTAAATTAAAATAAATTATGTAACTGGATACTGAAGATGCAAAACCCAAATATGTTTGGCTTATTTTTACACTTGGATACATCCTGAAGTGTCAGAACCAGATAAGAAGTTTAGGTTTGTTTGGCCCTCTAAAATGTGGGAAAAGTTGTAAAGAATAACGTAATTCAACAAAGAGGGCTTATGATCAGTCCTTTTGACAGTCCTGTCAGACACTTGAGTAATTGTTCTAACTCAAGTGGCTAACCCTGACTTTTTGAAATGACAGTTTGTATAAAAGTCCTTTTAAAGTTTCCCTTTATGCTGCAGTAACATTTGAATGAGATATTTATACATCTAAGAGGCATATGTTTAGTACATCACACTTTATGAGTTTATAATTGGAGCCTTTCAGTTCAGTGGTTCAGCTCCCTTGAAAGTAAAACTCGGGCATGTTGATCCTCTGTTAGCTTCCTAGATCACCTCTTGATAGCAACCCTTTCAAGAGTGCTGAAGAGATTTGGCTTCTCTTTCTGGTGTTTCATCTAATACTGTTCAAAGAATATAGTTTCATCAAAGTTGAGAAATGGACTCTTTTAAAATTTTTCTTGCATTTTTAATCTAAAAATAAAGACATTTTGAAAGAAAAACTGTTGCTCTTCATATTTTTTTTTGGAAAGAGTAGAGGCCAGATTATGTTTTGTTGTTTTTAATGGATAATACTTGATTACTTAATTAGATGGATGCAGATAATGGATGTGCAGAGTAATAGACGGATAGCGTGTCGTACTACACCTATTTTCTGTGCATTTGTCTTATTTTCAAATTATAGCTTTGTTAACTAATAAAAATAAATGTGTGTTTGTGCTTCTTAATTGAATTTTAATTTCTGTCTAAAAGCAGTCTGGAACAAGTTATGAACAAAAATGATTGATGTGGTAAACAAAAAGTAATTTGCCTATTAGAGTTATTTTTTACATATTATTATGTTGAATGAAATGTATCAAGCTCTTTCATGAATTACAGCTGAAACAGTCTAACTTCCATGGTGAATATTGTGCAACTTAACCGAATTGATGTGAAAGATATTGAAGCACCAAAGTGTGGGTGCCCTGGGTTATTCTCCAGCTATGTCAGTTGCTTTTAAATGTTTATAGTAGTTTCATAATATTGTCTTGCTGAATCTTGAAAGGCTCAATGGCAATGGAATGTAACTGAAGCAGTAAGATACAATTTTTGCAATTACAGTACAGCAGATCTCATATCATACATTTTTGTTCTATGTTTTGAAACATAGAGCACCATATTTTGAAATAGTACTTTTTTAAAAAACTTTGAAAAGCTAGATTTGTCTTTATGTGATTTCTGTTAGCATAGGAAGTATAGAGCCTAGTGTTATATTCTAATTATCAATCCGAAACTAATATTTTCGGTGTTCTCTGTGTCCATGTTTTCTTGTGTGTGTTTTGTTTTTTTTTTTTTAAATACAGTGATAATGATGAGATGGCAAAAGAAGAGAAAGCACCTGTGAAAGAGAAGCATGTTCCAAAACCGAAGGCAATCCCTTCTCTTGGAAACAAGAATAGATTCCATCCATATTCAAAGGAGAAAAATGCAGGCACTGGAGAGAAGAAAACTACCAATCGTAATAGAGTTTTCATTAGCAACATCCCATATGACATGAAATGGCAAGCGATTAAAGATCTTATGAGAGAGAAAGGTAACTTACTCTTGATAATGCCCCTCATTGTAGCAAGGGGAAGAGCTTATATACAATATATAGTCCTTTGAGCCACACAGATTTGTTATTTATTTCTTTATTTATTTCTTCATTTATTTATTTATTTGGGCTTTTACTTGGTATATCTATCTTCCTTCCCCCACTTTCATCCAAGACAATTGCATTGCAGGATAGGATGGGTAAACCAAGCGTTCATGATCTTCTGCCATTCTGGTGTGACAGTAGAGAGTATATGCATGACTTCTTAAAAGGATTGTGTTTCGTCTAGTTGTAGTCTTTGTAGATTTTTTTTTAAGGGCTGTTACATTTAAGCAGCACATATAGTGTATTAACATACAAAAGATAAAGGATGTCTTTTAAAAGTTGTTTTGTATTTCTTTGGTGGAATCTGGCTGTGGAATTAACTTTTGTCTGCATTGTCACTACTGCCATGACTGTTTGTCTGGAGATTTATATTAAAAGCTTGTTTCTATCGTTGCAGTTTTCATAGAGTAATCTTAATACCCCAAACTCTTTATTTTTAAGTTTGGGAAAAATAATCCTAATGTATGAAATCTATAAAAAGTTAGTCCTGTATTTTTCTTGAAAATATTGGTTCTTCAAAAGTAATGCAAAGCACATTTGGATTCTAGGCTGTGAAAATGCAAAAAAACTCCTTTTGTCACTGCTGGTGTATCTGTTGTAAGGTGACATGACTATTTGATTGGTTTATTTACTGAAACTTCCTACTTTAGAAAGTGAGTGGCTTGCTGTGAAATATTTGATGTGTAAATTTGGTTATTATTGAAGGCAAACTTATGATTGAAGACACTCAGGTAGAAAGTCACCTTAAAACAGGTGTTGTGAGTAGGATGATAAATGTAACACTTTTCAGTGAACGTTGCTGTTTCATTTGTTAGGTTAAGGGACTATGTGTTTTTCTGAATTTGTTCACCAACTATATCATACTGGCCAAAACATGATCTGTAGTATGAATTAGGTTAAATATAGTTGCTTGGGTTTAGCTTTGAGAATGTGGCTGCTGAAGATTTCTGAAAATTAGCTAAATTATATAGCCATTGACAGGAGGTGTGTTGGTCTGGTTTTGATTGTTGGTGAATAATAGGTGCTTCTCTGTAGAGTTGTGCACAGGGGCACAGTAAAGAAAGATACTGGTGTTTAAATGCATTGTCTCTTGGTATTTTCCCTTTGTATGTCTTATGTAGTTGGTGAGGTTACATACGTGGAGCTGTTTAAGGATGCTGAAGGCAAATCAAGGGTAAGTGCCGTGGGCAACAATCTGCTAGAGGTTTAAAAGTTCCTCAGCAGTTTTATTTTTGTATAATACCTGTACCACTATTTGAAGTAAGTTTCATTTTTACATCGATTTTCATTATGATAGCCCTGAGAATTCTGTATTAGAAATAGTCTTGACACTTATATGCAACTCAAACTAGCTGGCTCTAAAGGACAGTGTTTTGTAAATGTTAACAAATGGCATTTACATAATTCTTTTTAGCCAACATGTTTGTTTTGTTACCAATCTATTTCATATAAAGGACATTTAATTAATCACTGATTAGATTTAAATTTTGTTAGTGTTGTGCTCTTGAGGCCAATAAGTATAAACATATTAGTTAAGAATATATTGTTTGAAGTGCCTGATTTGACAGTTTGTAAAGGTTGATACTCTGAACACTGGATTAATGTATTGCTTTTTAAAAAAACTAAATGGATGGAGATGGTTGGTAGCCAACGGAGTGCCAGCAATGAGGCACTGAGAGTGGAGATTGGTTAAAGCTCCTTTGTCTTCTTTAAAATAGTCAAAAGTTTGGCCGACAGCAGCTTGAACCTGCCGTGAGAACATGAGAAATGCAGGTTTGAGTCCTAACTGAAGTTGTAACAATTGTTGTAAATGACTTTCTTCAATGCTTGTTAAAACTAAAACATGCTTTCAGCTTTGCTTTGCTTAGAGCAAGCCTAAACTCTCCGCTTTTGTTAGAAGGATTTTGGTGCAGTCAATAAGGTTATTTTCTTACTAAGTCATCTGTCAAATATGCTAGCAATACTGAAGAGGTATGCAGACTCCTTGTTCATTGTACTCGTGTATTTGATGTATGTGGATTTGAATTTTGTAGTTAGATGTTAGCTTTTAATGACACAATGAGTGTCCTGATCAGGACATTGGTTATGTTCTGGGTTCTTTTTTTTTTTTCTTTTTTTCCTTTCTTTTCCCCCGCCTCTTTTTTTTTTTTTTTTTCTCCTCCTCCCTTTCCCTTCTCCAGTTGTCCTTACATGGATCTGTGTGGCACTTTTCTGTTGTCCAATTCTGGTTTGGCTCAAAGAGAATAAAATATAATGTATTCTCTTGCATTTCAATGCTTTATATGTTAAAGGAATAGGAGAAATTGACCTTGCCTACATGTAAAGAATACATATTATTATTTCTGAGGCTGAAAATAACTTGATGAATGGTTACTTAACAGTGAACTGGGATCTTTAACTGGAATGTTAAATAGTCTATGTGTTGACTGACTTTTTTTTTTTTTCTCCTCTCTCTTCACATGTGATGACAAATCATTATGGATATAGGGTTGTGGGTAAGTTTCTTCTTCTTTTTTTTTTCTGTGTGTGTAGAGACACATTATTATCCAAATAATATGTTAATTTTAATGTTTTAAACTTTGTTTTAATACTCTAAATATTTTGTTCTCTCTAAGTGTGGTTGAATTCAAAGATGAAGATTTTGTTAAGAAAGCATTAGAAGCTATGAACAAATACGATCTTAGTGGAAGACCCCTGAATATTAAACAGGTATGAATATTGCTACTACTTTTAACTTAAAATAGTGACATCATTCTAAGTACTGGAATGATATTATAGTTTTGTTGAGTGTCTTATTTGTGTAATTTCCAGTTTACTTATTTTTGTGATTTTTTTTAATGGGCTAAAATGCCTGCTGGCTTGCAGAAAATCTTGCTACTGTGTCACGTGAACTGAGGAAAAAAATTATGTCCTAAAGTGAAAATAATCAAATGCTGTCTTTCTTTAAAACACTTTTGTCTTTAATTTTGTATTCTTTCCTGAGAGTTGTCTAATCCTGTTATGTTCAGATTAATTACTTGTTTCCAAATATTGCTTTGGGAAGAACAAACTTAGTGTAAGACTTCTAAATATTATTAAAAAAAAAAAAAAAAGGAGGGGGTGGAGGGGAGGTGGGCAAGAGGGAGTGTTGGGAATAGGATACTTGAGCGGATTGGGAAGTGAAATTAATGGCAACATTTTTATTGTAGTGTTGTTGCATATAATGGTGTCTAATGCAGTTCTTTATGTCCACTTACAATTATAATAATGCTATTAACACATCAAAGAAAAGTAACTAAATTAATTCAGTTCTTGGAAGAAGGTACTAGACTGACAGTCCTTTAGATTGAAATCTTTTCTACTTGTCCATAGGCTAGGTACAGCATGTGAAGTGGCAGTGCACGCTTCCTCTACAAGTGCTTTGCCAATATGCCTCAACCCTCATCTGAAAGGACCCACCTCTAGAGGTGAGGGAATTAGGTCTCCATGCTAATACAATTCTTGATCCCTCTCACATGGACAAGGATGCTAGTTGATAATTTTGATGGGTTTATGTAGAATTTAAATAGTAACTTTTCTTGTTACTAGTCCTGGTGTCGGTGACTAAGCTAGCTTTATTTTTGCACATTTTGCAGGACCCTGAAGGTGAACATGCTCGTAGGGCATTACAGCGTGCAGGAGGACAGTTTCCAGGAGGCCGTGGACCTGATATGACACCTGGATTAATGAATTTACCACCTTCTATTCTCAATAATCCAAACATTCCTCCTGAGGTTATCAGTAACTTGCAAGCAGGCAGGCTTGGGTCCACTATTTTTGTTGCTAATGTAAGTTTAACTATCAATTTTAAAATTAGTATTTGATCCTTCTGAAATGTATTCCATTCCTGCAAAATTCAGATTTCAAAGGAAATGAGAAATGTTCATAATTAGTGTATTTGGCTAAAAAGTGGGATGTATAGCCAGATTTTGGACGTGAAAGATATGTTAAACTCTCAAAGTTGACATACACTTTTAATTATTACATAAAATACTTATTCTGATCAAGTGATGATTGCACATCTTTTCACCATGTATTTACAATGGTATTTCTGTGCTATATTTTTAAAAAATTCAATATACCTGCCATATTATTTTGCTAATTACTTTGGATTAACTTAGTCATAGTCTATCTTAAATCTGTGCATAGAAAGAGTGGATGAAATGAACATCCCCGCTAAATATATCTAAAGGGGGACACAGAGGCTATAGCTGTTCTTGAAACTGGGAAGATGGGTTCTTTTTAGTATGTTAATTTGAAAAGTGAAATAGATATGCAGAGTATAAATCGTTTTTAACTTAAAGTTTTTGTTAGACTTGGTTATAGTATGTATATATTAGAAAATAGTAGCAATTCATGAATATTAAGCGTTTGAGAACCTGAAGAAAACCTATTACAATAGAGAAAATCTCTTCCAAACTTAATGACAGAATAGAAATGTGCACTGAAATTGCTTGTGTATTTTTATATGTAAGCTTGACTTCAAAGTCGGCTGGAAGAAACTGAAGGAGGTTTTCAGCATTGCTGGGACTGTTAAACGTGCAGACATCAAAGAAGACAAAGATGGCAAGAGTCGTGGAATGGGAACAGTTACATTTGAACAAGCAATTGAAGCTGTTCAAGCAATATGTATCCTTGGTTTAGAAAAATAGCTGGTCATATATGGATTAATCTTTGGTTACTGGCTCATAACATAGTTTTGCAGATGATGCTTATTTGCATTGCAGCTAGGGGGTAGGGTATAGAGTATAATACTCAGATATTTTATTAGTTACTGAATTTACTGCCAAAGTTTAAAAAAGTGTTTCTGATAGTGTTGAACAAGCTTAAAATTAAAACATGACATGTATGAAATCCATTTTTATGTTCCTCTAGTACCTTATATAGCTTCTTCTACCACAACATTAAGTCATTGTTAAGAACAAGCTTGTAAAGTGGATTTTTGATTTGTCATTTTACAGATTAGATAAGAAAAGACAAGGCTGCTAATAATGGTGGGAAAAATGATTTGTTACAATGATTTCTCAAAAAAGAATTGCCTTTTGTAGTTAAATTCCTTGACTTGCATTTCTTTAGCTATGTTCAATGGACAGTTCTTGTTTGATAGACCCATGCATGTAAAAATGGTAAGTTGTTTACTTTTCTTCTTATCTTATATATCTCTGTTAAACATTGAAAGGATTTTAGCATAATATCCTTGCCTTTTTTTTTTTTTTTAATCAGGATGACAAATCAGTTCCTCATGAAGATTTCCGCGTTGCAGACAGCAAAGCTTCTCACTTACCTCGTAAGCACAGACTCATCTCTTTTGGGAGAGCTATTCCCTCCCAGCCCCCCTTTCACTTTAGAAATAGAGTCTTGGAATTTTGGTACTGCTTTGTGCTTACTTGTATAGATAGTTGTGTGGTCTGATGATACTTACTTTGATTTTTTAAGGTGGTCTTGGTGGCATTGGTATGGGACTTGGACCAGGTGGACAGCCCGTCAGTGCGACACAATTGAGCATGGGTGGTGGAATGGGCAGTATAGGTCCAGGAGGTAAATCTGTGCTCCTAGTTTCCAAGTTACAGAACTTTGATTGTCGTTTCCGTGCCTAGAGGAATTATATACTACTATCAAAACAAGCCTTGTGTACCGTGCCCTTGAAATGTTAACTATTTCTGCATTTATTAAAATCGAGTAGGAACTTAACTGTCTTTTAAATGGTTTTTGTCTTTGTGTTTTAAAGGTATGGGAGTGGAGGGCCCAGGATTTGGTGGAATGAATAGAATAGGAGGCGGTATGTGCCGTGAAGTTCTTTTGCATTAAGGTGGTTTGTCTGGTTTTTGGTGGTTTTTTTTTGTTTTGCTTTTATCTGTTGCATAGAAAACACTTTGTCTTATTATACAGGACTTGCTGGCTTTCGTGGAATGGAAGGAATGGCTAATATGAGAGGACTTGGAGTTGGCCGAATGGGAGGTAGGTGAATATTGTTCCCATTTACTTCTTACTGCTAATCTGTGAGCCTTTTTGAAGCCCGTTCCCTTATAGAGATGTGGATAATGTAGGTGACTTCAGAGGAAATGTGAGCAGTGGCATGAGCGGCGGCAGAGCAGCTGACATGAGAGGCATGGCAGCTGATTCGGAAGTATTTAGTAAATGCTTCTGACTTGTACTTTAAACTTGTTTCTCTTTCAATAAGCAGCTGAAAAAGAAAAGTCCCTTATGAACAGTGGTTTTGATACAGAGATCAGAATATTTCCATTTTGTGCTTTGTTCCCTACAGAAATGTTCCATGGTGGAATCGGAGGAAATATAGACAGAGATTTTGTGCGTAGTGAGATGGCATTGAACCGTGGTTTCGGCAATTCTTTTGGAAGGATGAGTATGACAACTATTAAGTTTCCTGTGGCAAATCACAACATAATGTTAGAAGAGCTTTACTAGTGGACAAACCAAGAAAATGCCTGATTTTATTTGGTCTTCTTTCCCTCTCCTTTACCATTGTTACTCTTAGGGAGTAATCTAAGTGTTCTTTGTAGCCATCTCTGAGGATGAAGATAGGTGTTAAAGTATGGGTTGGTTTGTTTATTTTTCCCTCTGTAAAATATAAGTAATACTGTGATTTGAAAAGAATTATTTAGCTCCATACACTTATCAGATTTTATGTAGCTTGGCTATTAAAACATACTTTTATGAATCCTGAATCTTGCCAACCTTGCAACTTGTGGGAGCCTGCTTTTGCAAAGGCATGCTAGAAAAGTTATTCTTACTGCTGAACAGGTGGTATTGGATAGGAATGGTAAATTCTGCAGCCCTCCCTGTTTCGCAGATGCTTACTTCTTTCAGCTTTTTCTCATGCAGCTTAGAACAGGATTTACTGTTGGCTTCTGAAGTTGGGTGAACTTTGCTTGGTTTATGCATGCTGTGTTGTTTGTTCACTCAGCTTCATTTTGCTACTTTTGGGTACCTTCAACTGAGACACTCTTTGAATAGAGCATGAGGCCAGGCACAGAGCAGTCTTCTTGCAGCTTGTTATTATTGTACTTTGACCAGGATAAATGCACTAAAGCTATAGAGGAAGGTGTTTTGTGGTGGTATTTTTTTTTTTCTGTTCCCAGTCCCTACTCCTTTAATTTCTCACTCCAAAGGCAGAGAACTGTGATTAGAACATAAGGTTTATGTGCTTTAGAAAGAGGTAAACATTTTAAATGGTAATTAGCGTGTATCATAGCAAAGAGTAACTCTTGTATGCTTCTTTTGAAGCACCTGTAACTGTGTAGAAGTAGTAAAATTGCTAGATTAGTTAGTATTAGTGTCTTGGAATTATGTCTTTTGTTTGACTTAGCGATGAGAAGTTATTGACATATCCAATCAGAGCTTGAATTTCTGATTATCACTCAGTTTAGTTATGTGCAGAGTTCTGATACTGAGTTCATTATTATGACCGATGTCTCAGTCCTTCAAGCCAGAGCAGCTGAAAAAATAAGGTTATCTTGAGAGTCATATTGCTTAAATCATATTGCTTAAAGAAGGTCCTTCGTGGATGAACTTGATAGGTTTGCTTTGCATTAAAAGATCCCTAGGTTTATAAATAAAGATTAATGGGTTATTTGAATTAGTAGTCTTGTTTTTTATATATTAATACGCATTAGTATATTTTATTACATATATCATAGGCAAGTGTGTACTCTTCACAGCATTTACAGTAACATCTTTTCAGAGTATGCTTTTTTCAGAAAAATTGTGGTGTTAAGTGTGGGCCTAGCTACCTCGGTAAAGCTTAATGTTTTGCTTCCTGCATTTGCAGTGGTTGCATTAGCAACCATATAGTTGTTATCTATATTTTTGCTTCCACAGTTATTAGTCTGTTTTTGGTGTGATGTATTAGTTTTTTTTTATTAATGAAACTGGACAACCTTTCAATCTCTTTTTTTTACATGTGCTGTTCAACATCTACTATGATAGATGGAATGACTAAAGCTTGATGCAGTTTGTTTTTTATTTTTATTTTAAACTGATACTTTGTGTCTTCTAACACACTTAAAATATTAGCCATGTTTCTGTATGAATCACTGCATGTACTGTTAGGCTTTGTATTGCATCAGTTTCATTAAGATTTTTTCTCCTGAAAAAAATAATTATTATTTTTTCCAGTGTACTTACGCATTTAAAAGAAAAATATGTTTCTCTTTTCTTTCTGTGTGTAGGTGGTGGAATGGGTGGTATGCCTGGCAGAATGGGAATGGGGATGGATCGGCTGGGTTCTGGTTTTGATCGAATGGGACCGGCTCTGGGTGGAGGCCTGGACAGGAACATCGATATGGACCGAGGATTTGTGGCTGGCCCGATGGGAGGCGCCATGAGAGAGCGATTAGGCTCTAAAGGCAACCAGATATTTGTCAGAAATGTAAGCAGTTGGATACATAGAAAGCATTAGCTTATTTTGTGTGCATGTTTGATTTCATGCTTTTTCTATGTAATATTTAATGTTATTAATACCCGTTTTTGTTCTAGCTTCCTTTTGACTTGACTTGGCAGAAGCTAAAGGAGAAATTCAGTCAATGTGGTATGTATGTGAATCTCATCTCTGCTAAACACTGACTTTATGGCCTGTATGATGCATATTAGACAAGCACAGTAGGATGAGATTGTTGCCTTAACCTAAATAAGAGTTTGCCAGCCTAATCTTTCTTGCTTTCAGGAAAGTTATAGAAATACTTTTTAGCCATGTCTTAGACATGATTCTGCAGTATGAAACCAAGATACAACTTGGCCCATTATGGCTTTCAGTGCTCAGATGTTACGCACTTTAAACCATTCCATTAATAAAATCTCCCTTTGAGGTGTTTTTTTGTTTGTTTATTTTTTTGAAGCAGGGGTTATGTATTTTTTTTTGCTGATACATAGTCAATAACAATGTGTTTATTTTAAAATAAATGTCTGCAGGGGTGTGGGCCTCATCCAGGTTATACTTCTCACACAGAAATGGTATTGCAGAGTATCAGAGTACCACTGAGGCAGAGTTAGTAATTCTGCCAAAGTGGCAAATATATTTTTAAGAAGGTTAGATCCAGATTAGCATATTTGCAGGCTCTAATGCTTCCCTTTTCCTCAAAAAACTCAAGTGCCTTTTTGTATAAGATACAGAATTTCTTGAATATCTAGTAATTTTCTAATTTAGAAAACTTGTCTTTCTACAGAAATGAATGACAAGTGAAGCTTGGGTGTAGAAATACATGTCTTTTCAGAGCTCACTTTAAGAATGGAAAGTTCTAACAGGCTTACAGGACAGTTGTGCTTATTTTGGAGTGACAGGAAGGAGAAAAAAAATTGAAATATAGTACTGATATCTAGTAGTGAAGACAGTCTTTACACAGCCATTTGCAAATTTGTTACCAGCTAGAACTTGCAGTCAAAACTATGCTGACTTTCAGGTGTTGAGGCGTTTTGTAGATTTGAAGCTTTTGTTGCTGAATTACAGCCAAATCTAGTGCTCCATCTTTTCAGAGTGAATTTTTTTTTTACTGCCTTCAGGACTATACTGCTGTTAATGTAATTCCTGGGAGTTGCAGATCCTAGTCTCATGCTAAGGATTCCACTCAACTAAAGCATTACATAAAAGTCTGGCCCATAACTCATGCTCAGCCTTTAACCACATGAGGTTATCTAATCTTGATTAACAAGCTCATCCACGCAATCAGCAAGACCTTCTTAATTGTTGATTTTGCTGCAGAAGTCTTCTTATGTTATTTTGTATGTTCTTTCCCTGCTCTCCACCTTCTCCCTTAACATGGATAGATACGCAAAATTAAAAACCTTATGCCGAGCTATTAAACAGTTCTTAGCCATTTTTAGTAAAGCAGTATTTAAAACACATTCCTAAGGAAGTTCAACTTCTTTTGCAAGTACAGTTGTAATATAAAGTGATTTATGTTGAATATCTGAACTTTTTTTTAAAGTTACAGATACTCTGCTAACACCATGTTTTTCATAATATACTTACATTTATACTCAAGTTATTGTTTTCTAGAAGTGGCTTTTGAGAGAATTCAGATTTTTTTGTAATTATTTCTTCAGCAACTAACATGCAGTAATTATTTTTAAGAGTGATAAGCACAAATATAAGTTAACAGCTTGGTTTCGTGGCAGTATTGTAAGGGACTATAAAGAGTACGTCTCCATGTTTGCAGTTTCTTTCAGTGAAAGGCCAGTCTTATGTTATATGTCTTAAAAATAAAAAAGTATATCTAAAAAGTATGTATTTTAAGGAGACTTGCTTGTTCTAACTAGCATTTTTGGGGCTTGAGGGTGGTGTGCTCCAAAGTATCCTAATCAAAAATTCATCAGCTCTAAGCACCAAATCTTTTCTGTGGAATGAAAGGGTTGGTATTCTGTGGTATAAAAATGTTGCCTCATGAGCAAATAATCTTCCTCTATGAGAGAACAGACACAGTAACTGCCCTTTGCATGGTATTTCTTCGCCCCTCTTAAGTGGTAACTTTACTATTTTTCAGTCTCTAATCTTGGTATGCAACTTCTTGGCAAAATTACTTGATTGCTGTGATTCCTTGGTATATTCCTGTAGTGAATGTGGTGGAATAGATTGAACCAGAATTCAGTTTATGGATCTTAATAGTCACATTTTGGCAGGGTGGCTGAATGAAACACACAACTTATCCAAGTAGGAAAGGTTATTTTCAAAGTTAAGGTCAAATACAGCCATACTTGGCCTTACTAGAAAAGAAGACTTGAAACAGGGGGCCTTCGTTTAAACTTTTTGCTGCTCTTTTGATCCATGACATCTTTTCTGAATGGTCATTTGTCTGAAAGTACTGATTTTATGTCTTCATAGGTTATATTTTAAAAATCTTTAAAAATATTTTAACTAGTTCTTTTAGTTGTTCGTTCACAGAAGACTTAAAATAACTGCTGTTTAACTTATTTACTCAGGTCATGTAATGTTTGCAGAAATAAAAATGGAGAATGGAAAATCAAAAGGTTGTGGAACAGTCAGATTTGACTCACCAGAATCTGCTGAAAAAGCCTGTAGGATAATGAACGGCATAAAAATCAGTGGCAGAGAAATTGATGTACGCTTGGATCGCAATGCGTAACTTAAACCTGTATGTTCAGGAACATTCCTATGTCTGTTTAGCCTCTCTATCCTAGTAAGTCATTTTTAGTAACACTGTATGCTTACAAAAGTTGTAAAAATGAACTTTTAAATCCCACCAGCCTTTAACAGTATAGTGTTTAATATACTGTGATACTTGTTAACTGAATCTTAAAATGTTTGGTTTTTAAAGACAATTTGCCTGATTTTTTTTTTGTTTTTGTTTTTTTAGAGGCACTGAGCTACCTGCAGGTCCCATTAGACAGTGGGAGCTTTGGCAGCTCAGCACCTTTGGAAAATTAGGCCAAGTGTCTCTAGTCATTCAGTTTAAATGAATGGTTATACTGTTTTTAATAAGATAAGCCATTTTCTCTGTTAGTCTCAAGATTGCATAGTGGGACTTGTTTAGCGTTTTCTGATTTTCCCCAGCTTGTATCAACATTGTAAGGTAAAACTAGATGCCTTTTTTTTTTGAGAATTTTGGTTTTATATGTGTGTTGCAGTCATAGCATAATTCTTGACTATAAAAGAAAGGGCTCCAAATAGGCTGTGATGTTTTTGCTCTACTTTAGTTCTACTTAATATTACTTTAATGCCATCAGTCAGTTCTGTAAATAAGATTTAGAGCCCAGTGGGAGAGTGGATTTTTTTTTTGACTAAATGAAGAAACTGATCTTTCTCTATTGCTTTTATTTTTTGTTCAGTATAATCGTTTATTAAAACTAGTTACCACAGACCCTTGTAGGATTGTTCCCTATGATGCCAAGTTCATACAAAATTGATACTACGGTAAATACTAAATACAGTACAAGACAGATTGCTCCCAATTTTTTATCTATTTTCCAGCCATTCAGGTGAACTGCCAGAAAAATAAAAACAACAGAACAGATGAGAGAAATGGCTGTGTATGTCAAACCACTGCTGTTCACTTCTATGGGTCCTGATGTATTTATGAATGCAGTTTTTATAAACCAGGGTATTCCCAAGCACAGCATGTCAAATACATTGGATCCTACAATGTTAGACATAGCCATATCTCCATTTCCTGCAAAACAAAACAAAATACATGAGCCTATTTAATTGTATCATATGAATTGCCAAACTGTTTTTGAGGAACAGATTGTCAGCCCTTAATTTCTCACAGAGCACCCTGTTCACACTTCTAATTTAAAGAACTATAAACATGATTATACAGAGTGTGGTTTCAGGTATCACAGGCATAAGAAGAATTGTGTCCCTAGATCACCAGCATCTGCACAGCTGCACTTAAAATAAGCTAGTCAGGCAATTATAAAATCCATTCATGTTTAAAATACCATGACCTACAGCTGCATTTTGTATTAAGATTGTAACACTTGATCAGCAGCAAATCAAACTAATCTGGAACACTTGCCTGAAATACTCTAGAGCTTTTAAACCGCTGAGACACAGCTACTTCAGGTAAGCTACTTTAATTCAGTATTAGTAAACTTAAGCTCTAGAAGCGGTAACAACAATTTGAAGTTGTTCCACTTCCATAGTTCCTCTTAAACATATTCAGTAGAATGGGCCTGAACACCAAAATCATTACCTTTCTGAGCCACCAGCACGCTTGCAACTGTATCTGGTACACTTGTTCCTGCAGCTAGTAGTGTGAGGCCCATTATCGACTCTGGAACTCCCAGGGTTTCACCTGCAGTTGATAAATGATGATAGAAAATGCCAGTATACTTAAGTTTCACCCAAATAAATTGCTTTGGGCTTTTGTCTGCTGGCGAAAGGATTAGTAACCATATGCTAATTCCAAAAGGAATCTGCCAGCTAACTTATAGTTTGGTCAGTTTATATGTAGTCAAGTTAAAGTGGTTAAAATAAATATCACCCTGTCCTTGTTCTTCAGTTGAATAAAAGGAAAGGGGAGAAAATACACAGTATAATCACCATCTTATTTCATAAGGTGTTTGTTTGGTTGGGTTTTTTTAAGCCTTCAATACATCTCCAGTGCTCAAGAGAATGCCAGTTAGGAAATGGTCTTTCAGATACAGTAAAGACTTAAGTCTTACCCCCCACCCACCCCACTCTTTAAAGCATATAATCTTTTATATTTTGGGGCATCTCACTGTTAGTGTTTCAAAGTCCCATGAAGCAGTATCTCTTAAAATTACCTGCCCTTTAAAGGAGGAGGGAAAAAAGCACATGAATTTTGTTAGGGAGGAAGGTAGTTGAGATCATTACTACAAAATTCCTCAACTTACATGGCTTTAACTTTTCAATTAAATTAAAAAGCTGAAGTTTTTCAGTTTCTTGTTGGATTCAGAAGAATCAAATATTTATTAAATAACTCATAAGTGTTAATAATCCATCAATTTCCTTTAAGTAAATATTGGTTTGAGAAAAGTTTTGAATTATTACTAAAACAGCTGATCATTTTTTCTTTCCCACTGTATGCTTAGCCCTTCGTGTTCTGAAAGTGTATTATTTTCTCACTTGAAACAGGGATTCAGTTCATCTTCGAAGCAGCTGTTTGTTTTTCTAATGTAGCACACATGAGGATTGATTATGCTGAAGTGTTTGATATCTCTGTTGAAACTATTAATAATAATAGGTTGTTCTAAATTTCTGGTGACTAAAAAGTAAAGGCTTTTTTTGGTGAAATCTGGATTCTTACTCAAAGCAATTAGACAAAAATAGGCAGCAGTGCACCACAGGCTGGGCGAGCAGTGATTGCTTAGTACACATTGGCTTAGCCTAGGTAGGTCTGAACCTGCTTTCTGTTCAAAGAGGCTGAATATGATCCCATGTAGAATTTGTAGTGGAACTTACTCTTCCATTACTCCTAACATAAGAAATTTATAGGTTGAGGGACCAAAATGATCAACTTTTAAAACATCTAGGCTGGAAAATAATGGTTCATACCAAGTGAACGAAGTTGAAATATGAATTAATTAGCTATATGAATCAAACATTAGTTTATAGCCCTTCTGAAGGTAATAAGATAGAACCTAAACTCAGGTGAACCTGCTTTCTTTTTTCATTAGATTCATCTAATTGTAGAGCTTTTTTTTTTCCCTAGCAATTGGCCATAAAGACAAAATGGTCTTGTTTTTCTAACCCTTACTTAATTTTGTGTATTAGTAGCAATATCTTGCTATAGTAATCAAAACTTCTTTGCAGGCAACAAAAAGTTGGTGTACTAAATTAGATTCATTCTTGAACACCAAAATTTAGTCCCCAGCTATGGTACCTTTATGAGACTCTGATAGGCAGTTTATGCAACTATAGCACCTTTTTGAATTATCTTTCATGGAAAAACATGGATTTGAGAATATATATATATATATAGATATATATGTAAGTTTTAAGAGTTTTAATGTGTAAATAGAACATATTTGATCTCAACGTAGTGGGACAAAGACCCAAATGCTGCTTGTGATGACTTTTCAAAGTGGACTAACACTAATACACTATTTGAAACTCCAGTGTACCAGTTTTCATATAAATTAGTGCTTTGTCTAGTAGCACAGCAATAACTTGAATTAAATCATGGGAATTCTATTTTAAAGCATTCAGACAATAACTACTGCTCTTTAGATACAAGGAAAGAATTATTTAACCAGGGAGTGAACCTGGTGGGTGTTACATCCAGCAATCTATTATTAATTTGTTAAAGGTCTGTTGAATGTGAGAGTCTTTTTCTGCACTTAATAAGGAGTTATTCATTGAACTTACTTGAAAACAAGTTTAAGATGCTGAACCAGCAGAATACTTGAGTATTAGTAAGCTATAACATGGAAATGGCAGGTTTTGTACAGTTTTGTGTTCTTGTTTGGAGATTTCTGGATTTTGTTTGTTCTTAAAATTAAAAACCTGATTTTTCACAAGCTGGCTGGAGAAAGTGAAACAAGACAGAAGAAAAAAAAACCTGAGGTATTGAAAGTTTTTTGTTTGTTTGTTTCTATGCAAGTTTGCACCCTTTCTCTCACTGGTAGGAAGACTTAATGTAAAGCTTTTACTGCTTCACATGCAATGCAGATTTGTAAGAGGTAAGCACATGCACAAAAAGAATGGTTAGTAATATGTGACAGTAGTCTAAAACAGAATGGTACAGAAATATGGGGATTTTTGGCAATTATTTTAATACCAAGTTTATCATTTAATTGTCCAAGAAAATCTACAGGTCTAGAAATAATGGATCTTTTATGAATACTTGAACTGTTAATGCCAGTCTTGGTAGATTCTGTTTGTCAAGCTGAAGCTTGACAAGTTTAACATTATATATCTAACTGTTTCACTTCATGAAGCAGTTTAATGAAGCTGACTGTCTATTTAAATGTAGGCTATTTTTTGGAGTTATGTGAACACATTCTAATTCATGTGATGGTAAACAGTCTGAAGCAGCAGGTTTTCGTTAGAGGGAAGAACTAAGCAGTCTGAAACATTAGTTTTGTGGGTTTGGGGTTTTTTTTGCACAGTGAAATAAACACCACTAAGCTCTGACCGTCAACTGTGGGAAATAAATTGCTTCGTAGGGAGAAAACTTGCCCTTTTTCATCAATTCTTGATTGGGTGATTCTGCATAGCAGCAATAGTTTGGGTTCCTACCTGCTATTGTTATCATCCATACGAGAACGTAAGTCATTGCAGAAATCCATGCTGCTGAAAATAAAAATGTCACTATGAACCAGTTCCTCCAAAACTGTCTTCTGCAATCTGGTATAGTCAAATAGAGTAGTGTAATAATAGGAAGTGATAACACCCACAAAATTCTCTTCATGTCTGCTTCAGGCATGGCAAAGACGCTTGGATGATCTGCTGAAGAAAAAGTAACTTGTTTTAAAATGTAGCATTAAGTTTAAAGTGTTAGCATATAATCATACAACATGGCTCTATTTGTAAGAATACTTGAAAAAAGGTAAAAAAAAAAAAAAAAAAATTCTTCCTCAAGTTCTAACTGTAGCCCTATTAGTGCCTACATCCTACTGGAGTAGACTCTGAAATCAAACTTTGTTCTTACTAGGAGAACCAAACTAGATTAAAAATGAATGTTTCCCTATAGGTTTACACAAAATGCTCATCACAAATAACTATAACCTACTGTGTTTTTTTTTTCTTTTTTAAGAAAGCTAAGTGAAGAGGAAAGTGATGGTCTGTAGTCTCATCATAACTATTTATCTGTACTGCATATTTTGAGCTGTGAACCTGCCATTGTTGTAACAGTATCCAGTAGCAGGTAACAGTAGCAGTTACTACTGAAGTCACTCATCCTTTATTAAGAAGATCTTAAAACTCGCTCTTTATTAACATTGATTTAGACAGGCATGCAGAGTGCCTGCATAAGGCACAGAGACAGCTGTAATAATAACTGATACCTTTAGAGATTTCATCAAGCCCATGCAAGCTTGTGGAGAGTTGTGAGTAGTCCAGCTCATCTTGAAAAATTCCACTATCTTTTCTTGATTGTGGACGAATTAGAGGTCCGCTCTCTTCCCTCCATCCGACTAGTGGCTGCTGCTCACTACTCTCTTCCATGGCTTTGGCAAAACATGTACAGCAGGGACTAAACTTCTTCATGATATACTGATTGACTTTAATATCAAAACACAGTACCAGAATATAACATCCATATATAAATAGTAAGGAAGCACTTTCATACCTAGGATAAGAAAGGAATTTTACATGATGTGTAAGTAATAGAGAATTAGAAAGAAAAAAAAAATCAAAGTGGCTGTCTTAAGAAGAAAGAACTGATTTGTTTGGGTAGCAATAGGAGAATATACAAAAGCATTTGTACTTGCATGGGCAGTGTCATGAAAGTTCATGAGTGTCTCTATATTTCAGCAGTTTGATTAATTCCTCTACCCTGTTGAGTCTTTTTTTTCTTTGTGTATTGCATAGCTGCATGTTTTCAAGGGGAATTTACTGACTGAATTCAGATTTTCAAAAATCTTCATGTGATGGTTAAAGGGAGGGACAGTATGTGATATTTTGAGTCAAACTTCAGAGATCTGGTACTGGACCTTAGTGACTTGCTAAGACAACAGGAATTTCAGTGTTGACTGAAGGGAGTCAACATCAGCAGCTCATGATCTGCTCCTGGCACACAAACATTTCTTGTAACAGTGATGCTATTGAAAGAGAGGCTTGAAATGAGTAAATGAAGATGACTAAATTCTACGGCAAAAGTTATGGTATGAATTGTGAAGTCTAGAGAGAGAAACGTATGCAGATCAGATTTTATAAATATGCAGAGCTTGAATGTTTCTGTAATAACTTTCACAAATGCTGTGACTTCCACATTTTTTAAAGCCAGCAAGATGTTTATTTCTGTTAGTGAATGGCAGTTCAGGCTACTTTAAGTTTGGTGGTGTTTGTGTTTGATTGATTGTTTTTAAACACTGTCTCACTAACTTCCAGTCAACATGAACTCCGCACTACTTATGCTCTTACCAGTAAATTCTGTTGTCCGATATCATCGCGAGGACCGCCACTACACTCACTGTATACGCCAGGCAGTCTCTAAACAGTGGCCAACAGGATAGCCTCGAAACCTGCAGAACACATGCATTTACTTCTTTTAGAAAGAACTTGTCTGTAATACTTTCACCAAGTGCTGTAGATGCTGCATCAATATGTTGTTTCTATATTATGTAAAAACTTAAGATTCTTAGTAATGACTTAACTATGCTATTTAACAAGTTAGTGTTTTTAAAATCTTTCATAGCAAGTTATCTTAAATTGATTACATGCTGGTTTTGCTACTAAATAATAAACTTGACAGTTGTCATAGTAAGTCTCTCTTGGCTTTTGTCAGTAAACCAGGATGATTGTTTAGCTCTGAGGAGCATAACTATGAAAAATGGTACATACCACACTAGAAAATAGCCCACAAGCTGCACAAATACCCAGGAGATTATAGACTGCTGATCCAAGGATGGTGCTAACACCAATATCTCCCTTTGTCACAAAGACTCCTGTAAGGAAAGTCACTCTTTATGATCATGTTCCAGTTTGGCATGCAAGGAAAAGAATTTTAGATTCTGAGGAGTCAACACATGCATCTCTTACCCAGAAAAGCAGTGACAAGCTCTGGAGCAGAGCTTCCAGCAGCCATAAAAGTTGCTCCAGCGACATCTTGAGAGAGGCCAAGGCCTGAGGGTAGAGTAAGAGAATTGCTAAAAATACACATGTATTTCAGTAGTCTGCAGCCATTATTTATTTCAGTCTAGGGTAGGGTGGATGCTACTAAATTGTAATAGGAATTAGCTTTGCTTGTTTCTGTACCTTTTGCATGTATTTATTTGAAATTAGTAAAATAATATAACAGGCTTATTATTAGCAGATAGGTTTGGGCTGACTTATTTCTAACTTTATTGCAACTAACTTTATTGCAAAAGTTAGAAAGAACAGTAAAAGTTAGTTGGAAAACTTTATTTCTAACTTTATTGCAAAAAACAGTTTAATAAAGAACTATGGATAATACAGAAGATTTGGGCAGGCTTTTAAGATAGGTGTACTTTTATTTAGGCTTTAATTCTACTTCATATGGATGAGAGTTGTAGGGAGATTCCTTGGATGGTATGATGGTATGGTTGGGTGCTGCCTGTTCCATGTCAAGTTTATTCATCTCAGGCAAATCCCTGCTGCTCTGTCTTCACATACCAGACATACCAGAGTGAGGGTCACACTAGTGCTGCTCGGATCGTACACTCAAATGCTCACTTTTTACAGTGTAAGAACCTGGGTCTTGCTTGAAATGAGGTTTTTGTTCTGAAGCTGACTGCTTTTGAAAGGTAACTATCACTCTTTGGATCAAGTTCACACAAGAGCAGAATGGCTAACTGTAGAAAACCAGTCTGAAAAATGCTTGTTTATTCATCAATAACAAGATGTATCAGCTCCACAGCAATATTTAAGCTCACATCTCCTACAAATGTTCCCATTCTGCAGAATGTTTTTTAATGTTCAAGGATGTGTTCCCCAATCTTGGTTTGACAGCTACTAAAACCATCTTTTTTTTCTTAATCACTGATATTATAATTATGTTGTATAGTCTGCTGAAGCTGGTGCACAGGTTGATTAGACTTCACTAAGTTTACTGTACTTGGAGTAATTTCTACTTGTGCCATACCTTCACTGTGTAAGCAGCAGTGTGTGCTGAAGCCTGTTCGCTCCTATTTCCTACAGCAACCAGCAAGATTTTTTTCCCCTTCTTTAACACAGAAAAAGTTTTTATAAGGCGGAGGCTTTATTAGTAACTTAGACATAATATTGCTAACCCCGTTCTATTGGCAACTTAGTTAATACCGAGTAAGTTTAAAGGTTTGCACGGGTCAGGTAAGCGCCTTCCCCGCGCTCCGAGTTTGTTTTAAAGGCGCGGACACGTCGCGCGGGTGCGGAGGCTGCAGCGCGCGGGGCCGCGGGCACTCACACTCGCTGATGATCTCCAGCGACGGCAGGAAATAGTCGTCGCACACGATGGACACCGCCAGAAACATGTAGAGGATAATGAGGAAGTAGATCACGATCCCGCCGTCCTTCCTCTCCTGCGGCGTGAAGAAGCCTTCGGGAAACTCCGAGGACGAGGAGGGGACGCAGCTCGTCCCGTTATCTGAGCGCGGAGCGAGCGGGTCAGCAGCCGCCCGCGCCCTGGCGGCGGCTTCGGCCGCTCTGTTTTAGAGGGGGAGACCCCGGCACGGAGGGAGGGATGGAGGGAGGAAGGGTCGGAGGGGGCCGCGTTCCTAGGACCCC